TAACATGTGAGATTCGCGCCTTGGAGGCCACAATCCATTTTAGATGAGTTCAAAATTCTCGCCCACAAGGTCACGATCCCTCATTAATTACGCAGGGTCCGCGCCCCCGAGGCAACAATCTCCTGCAAATTACGCTTGACTCGCGCCACGAGGCCACGATCACCCGCAAATTCAAACCGCATGCACGGTTCGGACCCCCGAGGCCGCAACCCCTCATGAATATTCCGCGGGCTGCGCCGCTCTCGCGCCCCCGAGGCCGCGATCTCTGATACACCACGGCTGACTTGCGCATTCAAAACAACGATGCCTTGTAAATGGCCTCGGGTTCGCGCCCCCGAGGGCGTCACGGGTACCAGCCGTCCCCGCATGAAGTCGCGAGCTTGCTGCAGATCGGCGCCCAGGCATCCCAACATAGCTCTGGCATATCCCACTCCGAAAAAAAGGAGGCAGGAGGCAGCAGGCGAAACTGATATGTTCATGCATCCGAATACATATACCTACATGCTACATACATACATACATACATGCATACAGACACACGGCCGTACGTACATGCAGACAGACAGGCAGACGGGCCGACAGGCAGGCAGGCATACACACATACATGCATAAGTACATACGTGCATGCATGCGTGCATGCATGCATACAGACCGACAGACAGACAGGCAGGCTGGCAGACAGACACACACACACACATGCATGCGTGCATGCGTACACGCACGCACGCTTGCATTACATACATACATACATACATACATGCATGCATGCATGCTTGCAGACATACATACATGCATGCAGACATACAGACAGGCATGCGTGATTGAAAACATACATACATGCATGCATGCATACATACATACATACATACGTACGTACGTACGTACGTGCGTACCGGTATACATAAATTTGCATGTACATACGTACATTCGTAGGTATGTAAATATATGGATACAGGCGTATTTACATGCATGTACACTTACATACATACTATAACTGTGCATAAATACATACATACATGCATGCATGCATACATACAGACACACATGTTTGGGTGTGTATGCATGTATGTACGCATGTGTGTATGCCTGTTGTATGTTTGTGCTGCTATGTTGATGCATATATATATACATATATACATACGTGTATGCGTAAATGTGTGCACGTATGCATGTATGCATGCATGTATGTATGTACGTTTATGTATGCATGAATATATGCATCCTTACCAGTTCAAGATATACCTATATATACACACGACTGCATTGGCGCGTCGCGTCATTCACCTTGGTCCTTGAAGTTTGGCATGCCTCTTTCTAATTCTCGCCCTACCCTGCGAATTGCTCCCGATCGTCATCAGCTCAATTTGCTGAGGTTTCTCCTTGGAGAGCCTCTTCGGGGGACCAACAAAAGTTGTAAAAGATTACTGGGGCCTTCTGGAGGCCTCCTGGGCGCCTTCTGGGGGCCACAGGGGGCTTCCTCGGGCCACCCTGCTTCCAACAGCGGCCTCCCTGAACGACTGAGTCTCGATTTGGAATGCTTCGGAGGGCGTCTGGGGGCCATATTGGGCCGTCATGGGGCTCTCTTCGAGCTATCTGGGGGCCCTGTTGGGCCGTCTTGGGGCTCTCTTGGACTGCCTGGACAACCATATTGGTAACTGTTCTGCGATTTGGGGGCCTCCTGGGCGAACGCCTGGACGACGGAAGAACAGAGAGAGCATGTCTGAAAACCACTAGAAACCATTGGAAATCGATGCGTTCTGAGTTTCGAAAGCGTTTTGCAATCTTTTAAGGGTCGACGTTGGGCGTCTGGTGGGTGTCTTGGGCCTCTTGGGGCTCTCGCAGGGCCGTTCCGCCACCCTCCCGACCGGCTTGGGCCCGTTGCCGTCGCGTCTCGGGGGCCCCTGGGGCCACGGATCTGGGAAGTCCCATTGTGTGGAGGGGAGATCCCCCTGATTATATATATATATATATATACATATATATATATATATATGTATATATATGTATATATATATACATATATATATATATATATATGCGTGCCACTTCAATCCTGGGGGAATGATGGAACGGGGGAGGAGGCGCCACTCCGCCGCCGCTGCCTCTGCTCTCGTCAACTAACAAGCCGCCTGGCCTTGAATAATGAGCCGTTGTTACAGTTAAGGTTAAGATTACGGTTGAGATTGAGGTGAACTGTAAGGTTTAGCGCGTTGGATTCGAGTCCAGACAGACAAGCAAGGGCCGTGCTGAACGTGAGACTGGCTTTGCAAAGATATGGATGCAAGCCCTGCGGTGGCAGTGGCCCGCCTTGACCGCCCTCCAGGGCCGTAATGAGGGGGCCCCGCTGCAGGAGGCCCTCTGTGAGCCCTTCTGCACACAGTACGAGGGAGGGCCTCCTGGCTCCATCAAGGAGCGAGGAGGCGAAGGAGGAGACAATGCCACCGTAGGCTCGCACTTCCTTCTTCCGTCTCCACGCCCGCGCCGCCCGCTGCTCGGCAAAGCTGCCGCGAGTGCACGGCCACGCTGCCCCCCCCCCGCTGGTGGTTTTCGCGCGCCTCTGGCACGGGCGGCCGTGGGCCTGGAGCACCGGAAGGAGACGGAGAGCCAGACGACCCTGAGATCCAGGCGTTGGAACTCTTTCGCACCGCTCGTCTCGGGCACCGGACCACAACAGGTCGACCCTTCTCGAAGAATGCCGCAGAAAGATGTGGTCTGGGGCTACGGGCGTGATTTATCGATCACAAAGCTGCGCAAAGCTTGAGAGGTACGCGAGGACCTCCGAAAAATTCAAGCTCGTGTCGCTCGTTGGTCCTGCAAGCCCGTCGGCGACCCGAAGGCAGTGCGCTGGCCTGGCCCGCAGGCTGGACCTGCACCAACCCCCCTGGCGAGGCCCCCCGCCTTCTGCCGCCGCTTCGCGGAACCTCGGCGGGCCCAGGCGGGGCGCGACCCGCCCGCCTCCCTCCTGCCTGCCTCCTCCTCGTCCCTCTTGCTTCCCTCCCCCCTCTGCCTGTTCCTCTTCCCTTCTTCTCCGCCCCCTGCTTCCTCCTCCCTCTTGCTGATCCTCACCTGCTTCTCCTCCTCCCCCTGCCCCCCCCCAATCCATCTCCCCCTCCCCCTCCTCCTCCCCCTCCTCATCGTCCGCCCCATCATCATCATCATCATCATCATCATCATCATCATCATCATCATCATCATCATCATCATCATCATCATCATCATCATCATCATCATCATCATCATCATCAGCCCATCATCATAATCAGCATCATAATCATCAGCATCAGCAGCATTACCATCATCATCATCATCATCATCATCATCATCGTCATCATCATCATCATCACCATCATCATCATCATCATCATCATCATCATCAGCAGCATCATCATCAGCATCATCATCATCACCATCATCATCATCCTCATCATCATCCTCATCCTCATCCTCATCATCATCATCAGCAGCATCATCTTCATCAGCATCAGCATCAGCATCATTATCATCAGCAGCATCGTCATCATCAGCATCATCAACAGCGTCATCATCAGAATAACCATCATCAGCATCATCCTCATCGTCGTCGTCATCAGCATCATCATCGTCATCGGCATCAGCATCGGCACCAGCATCATCAGTATCAGCATCATCATCAGCATCGTCATCATCATCATGAGCATCATCATGAGCATCATCATCATCAGCAGCAGCATCATCACCATCATCACCGGCAGCAGCATAATCATCATCAGAATCAGCATCAGCAACATCATCATCATACTCAGATTGCTTCTCTTCCTCCTCCTCCTCCTCCTCCTTCAGATAGCGGGTTGCGAGAAGGTTGTAGGTGGCAACACTCAGCCCAAGCCCGACGACCCCTGCACAATGGGGACCAAGCTGTGCGAGAAAGAGGAAACTGGAGCACCCCACCAGCAAGCACTGGATTCAGGCAACATCGAAGGCCAGCCTCAGCCCGCTGACCCAGGCTCAGTGCGCGAGAAGGAATAAAGTTGCGCCAAACGTCAACAGTAAGTGCTAGGGTCGGGCGACACTGGCTGCGAGAGCAGCGGCAGGAGGCGAGGCTATGCACCACGTCGTGTATGCAAGGGGGGGTCTTGCAAATCAGCTGTTTCTTCCCTCTCCTGGCCTACCTAAACAAAAATCCTCAACTCGCCATGCGCCACTGCTACTGCTCCCGGCGCCTCCGCCCTCGCGCCCACGCGTTCCCCCACCTCACCTTCCTCCTCATCAGAATGATCCGCTCCTCCGCCCTGTCTCCCTTCTCCTCCTCCTCCACCTACTTCTCCTCCTCCTTCTCATCCTCCTCCAACTCCTCCTTCCTCCCCCTAATGAACCCCCTTATCCATCCCTCCTATGTTTAGTGACTACGCGCTCCTCTATCACCACCACCATACACCACCACCACCACCACCACCACCATGGTGACCATCACCACCACCACCACCACCACCATCACCATCACAAGAATAATCATGCCAAGCAGCAGCAACAGCATGATCTTTCTGCTTCACCCTCCTCCTCCTCATCCTCCTCCTTCTGTTCCGCCTGTTCCTCCTCCTCCTCCTCCTCCGCCTCATCCTCCTCTTCTTCGTATTACTAATACCACTTTCTGATACTAATATACATGACTCGAATTATTAGCATTAGCATTAATATTGGTATTCGTCCCTTTCTTAATATTAGCAGTAGTACTATTAATAATAGTATTAGTACTATCATTAGTGGTATCATTGTTGGCCTCCTTCTTCTTATGCATATTAGTATTACTATTAGTCTTGGCATTATTGTTTTTATTATTATTGGTCTGGTTCGTCTTCTTCCTCCTCCTCCTCCTCCTCCTCCTCCTCCTCCTCCTCCTCCTCCTCCTCCTCCTCCTCCCCTCCCCCTCCCCCCCCCTCCCCCTCCCCTCCCCCTCCTCCTCCTCCTCCTTCTCCCCCTCCTCCTCCTCCTCCTCCTCCTCCTCCTCCTCCTACTCCTCCTCCTCTCCTCCTCCTCCTCCTCCTCCTCCTTCCTCCTCCTCCTCCTCCTCCTCCTCCTCCTCCTCCTCCTCCTCCTCCTCCTCCTCCTCCTCCTCCTCCTCCTCCTCCTCTCCTCTCCTCCTCCTCCTCCTCCTCCTCCTCCTCCTCCTCCTCCTCCTCCTCCTCCTCCTCTCCATCTCAGTCCTTCCCTGGGCGTCCGAGCGAGGGCGCTCGACCATCAGCTCGCGCAGCCGGTCCTCCCGCGACCCCTTGTCCTCGGAGCGGATCGGCGGGGATCGACGCGGGCGGAGGACGACATCTGGGGAGATTTTATGGCCCCCGCCATGGTATCCCCCCCCCCTTGTCATCACCCATCTCTTGGACGCCCTCGACTGCAGTGACGACGGGGAGCCTCCCAGGGGGCCTGCCCCCCCCCCGCTTCAGGATTGTCCAGGGGTGCGCTCTGACCAGAACTTCGAAGCGGACACTTGCCTCGACGACGGGAGCGCCCCGGGAGGCCGGAAATGAATGCCACAACGCCTGAGGGCAAGGCTCATTGGCGCAAACAAAGACATACCAGTAGCTGATGTTCTCCTTGGAGGCGCGCGTCCGACCCGAACATCTTATGGTATACCCATCTTGTAGTATATCGTTTCCCGAGCGGTATGGCCAGAAAGCGCCCGCCACGATGCATACACTAAGATTTCCGGAGGGGGCGCGTCGCCCCGGGGGGGGGGGGGCGACCACACACACACACACTCACACACATATATATATAGTATTGGCATGTTGGGGCGACGCCGAACCTGGGGCACTGGTGCCCCTTTTTGATTTGGGCGGACAATATGAGTTATGCTTGTAGCGTCCTAACGGAAAACAAAAAAGAATGTAGCGATCCGACTTAGAACAAGGGGGTGAGTGGAATTGGTAAACGCAAGGGTACCCGTGAGGGCGCAGAGTAGCTGAGCAAGCAGCCAGTGCCCAGTAGGGGAAGAACTAACATTAACGGCTCTCCTTCCCCTCCTCCCCCTCGAAGCGAAAAACAGGCGAGAAGAAGGCGGACGGCGGCCCCATCCACAACAGGCCACGGTTGCGACAACAGTTGGCCCAGGAAGCCGGGGCTGAACGTCCAGTCGAACCATGGAACAGACTCTGGACCTCCTCCTCCTCCTCGCTCCTCCTCCTCCTCCTCCTCTCCTCCTCCTCCTCCTCCTCCCTCCTCCTCCTCCCTCCTCCTCCTTTTCGTCCTCCTCCTCCTCCTCCCCCTCCTCCTCCTCCTCCTCCTCCTCCTCCTCCTCCTCCTCCTGCATGTGTTTCGCGCTGGGCGATTGCGCCCTGTTCCGGGCCCTCGGGCCCTCACAGAGAACTCTGGCCGGAGCAGTGCCGCCGAGAGTTGGGAGTCTGGGGCCCCAGCCGTGCTGTTTCACGATGGTGTTTTTGCCCCAGGGGGGATAGGAGCCTGGGCCACAGCTTCCTGGCTTTCCTCACGAAGCGCTGGGCCAAAACGAAGGAGTTGTTCCAGTCCGAGTGGGGCGATAGCGCGATCCAAGCGCTGGCCCAAGATGTGCTCGCAAAGATAAGGTGAAGCCCGCCGGACTGCAATAGGCACTTTGTCTTCGGCAGGACATGAAGAAGCTTGCCCCAACTCCAGATGGAGAAGCGAGGAGCGAGAAGGGGGGAGGAAGGAGGCATGAAGGAGGAAGGAGGAGGAGGGGGAAGGAGAGGGGAAAGAGCGATCAGGAAGAGCGCGACAGGGCTGGCGGCTGGTCAGAAGTAAACTCTGCCTCAGTATTTGAATTCTTGACCCGTCTCTATCGTTGTCTCTCTCTCTCTCTCTGTGGTGGGGGCGCCCGGAGGCGGGCGGCGGCGCTTGGGGGGGAGCTCGCCTGCCCGTCGCGCTTGGAGGCCATGGTCGAGGTAGTCGACTGGGGAGTCTGCTGCCGCCTGGGGCCCAGGTCGTCATGCTTCCAGGAACAACCCATGGCATACACATAAAAGCTCTTGGAGCTGCGCGAGGTTTTCTTGGAAGGCGCTGGACCACCCTCCTTGGAAAGCGTAGCGCGCCAGGGGCGGCGCCGTAGGCGCCGCCAGGGTGCTCTGGCGCCGATCCAAGAAATCCGAACGGAGGAGGAGGAGGAGGCGGAGGAGAAGGAGGAGGCGGAGGAGGAGGAGGAGGTGGAGGAGGAAGAGGAGGAGGAGGAGGAGGAGAGGGAGGAGGAGGAGGAGGAGGAGGAGGAGGAGGAGGAGGAGGAGGTGGAGGAGGAGGAGGAGGAGGAGGAGGAGGAGGAGGAGGGGGGGAAGAACCTCCGAGAATTGTTGATGATATCATTATTCGCTTCCCGAATGCTTGGGCTGCGCGGGCGCGGCCAGCGTGGACATAGGCGCCCTTGCAGCCTGGATCGCACCCGCACCAGTGCGCAGCTCTGCGTCGGGGGGAGGCGGTGCAGGGGGCAGCGCGTTGCGCGGCCGCCGCGCGGACCCTTCAACGCTGCTCGAGGGTGGAACGCGAAGTGAAACGGCAAGGCGTGACATGAGCGACTACGGAATCATGCGCAACGACACGAAATGGAGCGGAATGCACTGGATCGGCGTGGAAGAAATGGAGCGGAATGGAGCGGAATGCAAGGAGACGACACGGAACGCAACGACAATGACCCAGACTGGGACAACAAGACATCGGGGCGAATGCCATGGCATGAGGCCGAAAGTTGCAAATGCAGGTGCTATGCAAAGAGACAGGCGAAAATGTGATCAGATAGCACAACGTGAAATGCAACGTGCTGACACTAAATGGAACGATGAGCCTGGCACGGCCCACATTCGGGGCATACGCATGAGTTACACAACTATGAGAGAGGCCATGCAACGAAATGCAGTGCAACACATATCATAGCATAGCCCTGTCTAGCAAGGCATGGCATGGCCTGCACGTAGCATGGCAGATGTTGAACTGCATTGCATCTCACGGAATATAATGTCATCGCGCACTTGTATCATACCCTATAACATGGCGTAGCAGCGCCAAGCATACAGTTTCATGACAAGTAGCGGCGCGACATATCATATCATAGCAACGTGGCGTAGCCGATGCAGCGCTATGTCGCATCGCACAGAAACAGGTGGCATGGCTAGCGCAGTGCATCGTGGCGTAACACTGAAACTCCTTAGTGTAACGCCATAGTGTTGCAACGCGAACCTCAGCATGGTATCGTGGTGCATGGCGTGGCATGGTACGCCATCGCGTGTCACTGAAAGCATGGCATGGCATAGCGGCACGCAGCGCTGCATAGCGTGATGAATGATACACGCTAGTAACATGGCATGGTACTGTGTGGCACAACGAGGTACGGTGGGGGGGGCATTGGATAAGGAAGCATTGGATAAGGAATACAGGGTCTCGAAGCCAGTGGAACTTCGATCGTGGCTTGGCCATGGATATCACCGCCGCCCTAATCAGGTAAGGAATCCTCCAGGGTCTGAAGCCCCCTGGGCACATTCCTTGATGAACACCCCCCTGCATGGCATACCATCACATTGGAAAGCATGGCATTGCATCGTGTATGAAGCATGCCATCGCTACGCAATGAATGAATGGCATGCCATGGCAGATCATGGAATCGCGCAGGATTGCACGGCACAGACTTGCATCGCCTATCATAGCTTGGTTTGGTACTAACGTATGCGCATACGCCTGGCATAAGTTTGGAATGCCAAGCGCAGGAACGGCGAAGAAAAGCTTGGCAACTAAAACGGGAGTGACCAAAGCAAATCAAGCCCACGCGGGCAAAGCAAACGTAACGAGGGACCAGCGCCAACAGCCACGACCATAACCACAACCACGAGCACGACCAACAGCTCCACCACCGCGACTGCGACCAGCAGCACCACGACGGCGACCGACAGCAACCTGGCTACTGCAACCTGCATCGCCACCAGCAGCACCACCACGACGACTGCAACCAACAACACCACCACCACTGCAACCAGCAACGCAACCACGACTGCGACCAACCGCATCACCACGCCCCAGCGCCACGACGGCGACCAGCAACAGCACCACCACCACACCACCAGCAATGCCGCGAAGGCGACCAGCAGGAGGGCGAGGAGGAGGAAGAGGAGGCGAAGGCGGCGGGCGACGAGAACGAAGAGGAGGGGAGAGGGCGAGGAAGAAAAGCAGCAGCACCGACAACGCGACTACGACCAGCAGCACCACAACGACCGCGACCAGCAGTTGCGCCACGACTGCGGCCAGCAGCACCACCACGACGACAGCGATCAGAAGCGCCACGATTACGACAAGCAGAACCACAGCCACGAGCACGACCAACAGCTCCACCACCGCGACTGCGACCTGCAGCAACGCGACGGCGACCAACAGCAATCTGGCGAATACGACCTGTATCGCCACCAACGGCAACGCCACGACGACAACAACCAGCAGCACCACCACTCCGACTGCCACCACCGCCAGCAGCACCACGACCGCGACCAACCGCACCACTACGCCCCAGCGCCACGACGGAGACCAGCAGGTCCACCACCGCCAGCAGCACCGCGACGGCGACCAGCGGCAGGACACGGAGGAGGAGGAGGAGGAGGAGGAGGAGGAGGAGGAGGAGGAGGAGGAGGAGGAGATGGAGGAGGAGACAGACGAGGAGGCGAAGGAGGCGGCCGAAAAGGACGGCGACACCGCTACCAACAGCAGCACCGACAACGCGACTACGACCAGCAGCACCACAACGACCGCGACCAGCAGTTGCGCCACGACTGCGGCCAGCAGCACCACCACCACGACAACGATCAGAAACGCCACGATCACGACAAACAGAACCACAGCCACGAGCACGACCAACGGCTCCACCACCGCGAACGCGACCAGCAGCAACGCCACGACGACAACAACCAGCAGCACCACCACCCCGACTGCCACCACCGCCAGCAGCACCACGACCGCGACCAACCGCACCACTATGCCCCAGCGCCACGACGGAGACCAGCAGGTCTACCACCAGCAGCAGCACCGCGACGGCGACCAGCTGGAGACGCGAAGGAGGAGGAAGGGGAGGAGGAGGGGGAGGAGGAGGAGGAGGAGGAGGAGGAGGAGGAGGAGGAGGAGGAGGAGGAGGAGGAGGAGGAGGGGCTCGAGCGTCGAGAGTCGAGATTTTGTCCGACCCTGGCAGCCCAGCCGGGCCCTCCCTGCTCGTTCACTTATTGCTCCTCGCCGCTCCCCCTCGCCGAGAGCCTTCCGGGGGTGGCCGATGTCGACCCTTCCCGTGCCTTGCTGTCCCCCCCTCGGTGCCATGGAATGGACGCCCGTCCAGCGCCGCGGCAAGCGCGGAGGCGGCCGCCCGCAGCAGGAGCGCGCACGACAGCTCATCGCAAGCCTCTTCGGCGGTGGAGGCCGCCGCCCGCCGCCAGAGCACCGCCCGCCGCCAGAGCGCCGCGGCGAGTGGCGCTGCGCGTGCGGCAGTGCAACTTCGAGTACCGCGGGGCGTGCCGCCTGTGTGGCGCCGCCCGCGCTGGGGCGAAGGCGAGCTGCCCGCCCCCGCCGCCGGCTGCCCCTGCGGGCGACGCCGGCGCAGCCTGGCCGGCTCTGCCAGGGGCACGGGGCCCCCGCCCAGGGGACCAGGCGGAAGCCCTCCGCCAGGCAGCCGCCGCGGCCAGGCGCGCTGGGGCTTCGGCCGCGGCCGCCCAGCAGCTGCTGGCGGAAGAGCGCGCCACGAGGCAGCGACAGGCGGAGCGCCGCAGCGGCAGGCAACTGCCGGAAGAGCCTGCGGGCAGCGGCGCAGAAAGCAGCCGCAGCAGCGCAAGCCGCGGAGGAGGCGCTGGCGGCCGCAGAGCGCCACCTCGAAGACGCCCGCGCGAAGGCTGCTGCGGCCGAGGTGGCGGCGCGCGCGGAGGAGGAAGCGCAGCTGGCGGCGGCTGCGGGGCCGGCCGCGCCTCGGGCCGACGGGCCGGCGGGGCTGGCGCGGGCCACGCGCCAGCTGCTGGACCGCCTCGAGAACGGGGCGAGGGCGCAGCGCGCCAGGAGCCGGTGCTGGCGGCGATGGCGGAGGCGCACGCTGCCCCAGCGGCCGCGGAGGAGCCGGCCGCCGAGCTCGCCGCCTCGGAGGCCGAGGACCCGGACGACGACCCGCTGGCGGGCGGCGACCAGAGCCCGAGGAGGCGCTGGAACGACCTTCGCGCAGGGGAGGCCGAAGAAGGCGCCTGGCTGGAGGAGCTCGACCTCGCCGACGCAGGCGACGACGGGGCCCTCCTCGAAGCGGCCCGCCGCCTGCGCGGGGTCCGCCGCGAGGCGGCCGCCGCCGCCCGGCCATCCCGGCCCCGGCCGCCGCGGCAAGAGGACAGCAGCCGCAGCACAGAGCGCATGAGACGCCTCTGCGGCTACGCCGGCGAGCGGGTCGGCGAGGCCAGCAGCCCCGGGCCAGCGGCGCTGCTCTGCCCAGGCTGCAAGGGGGCGCTGCGCGCAGTGAGGCGCCTGCGCCACGAGAACTGCGCTGCTTGCGGCGGGGGCGGGCCCCGCGGCTGGCTCCAGCACTGCGAAGACTGCGACGCGCTCCTCTGCCAGGGCTGCACTGCGGCTGCCGCCGAGGCCGCCGCGGCCGCCGCGGCCGCGGCGGCGGCGGCGCGGCGGCCGCTGTTGCTGACGCCGGGCAGGGCGCCGGCGCTGCCGCCCCTGCGGCCGCCCCCGCGGCGGCGGCCGCGCCCGCCGCGCCCGCCGGGCCCTCCGTCGCCGGGCCCGCCGCCGCGGCGCCGGGGCCGCCGCCGCCGCTCCAGAACAAGGAGGCGGCGTGCTGGATCCGGGCTCGACGACCTGGACCTACTGGACGAGCTGGCTGCGGACTGCCCCACGCCCCGCTTCGTGCCCGGCGGCGGGGCGCGGGCCGCGGCCGCGCAGGCCGCGGAGGCCCTCTGCAAAGCGGCGCTGCGCGCGCCACGTGGCAGCCTGGCAGAAGAACGGGCTTAGAAGCTTCTGCTTCTCTGAAAAGGGGCACCGGCGGCAAACGCCAGCTGCGCAGCTGCGCGGGCCGGGCTGATCCGCCAGCGGTGTTCTCAGCTCCACAGAGGCGCCTGGGGGGAGCTACTGGAGGAGGCGCGGCAGACCGCCCAGGGCCTGGCGCGCGCGCGCAGAGAGGGCGCCGCCGGGGAGCACCAGGGCGCCGCCGCCGAGGGGCACCTCGCCGACGCGGTGGTCCGGAAGGCGCTGGCCGAAGAGTACTCCCGGGCAGCCGCGCTCCACGCCAGCACGGGGCCGGCGCCTCTGACGCCCGAGACGGCGGCCGCCGCGCTCCAAGAACTGCTCGAGCCGCACGGCGAGCCTGCCCTTGAGCCAAAGCCGCGCGGCGGACCGCCGCCGCCTCGCCCCTCTCCCACCTGGAATTGCGAAGAGCGCTCAGACGGAGCCCGAAAGGGAGCGGGGCCGCCGTGAGGGGCGGCCGTTTCGAGCACTGCGGGCGCTGCTGGCGGAGCCTGTCGTCCTTGAAACATTATGTAACCTCTGCGACCGGCTCGCCACTGGGGACCTGCCTGCGAGCGCCGCGGACGCACTCGCCCTTCCCCGAGCGACGCCGCTCAGCAAGCCGGGCGGCGGGGCGCGCCCCATCGCCGCGCCAAACGTCCTCCGCCGCCTGGTGGGGAGGGCGCTGGTGGCGCCGCGGAAGGAGGAACTCGCGGCCGCGCTGGGCCGGCACCAGTTCGCCATCGGCACGGAAGCGGGCACCGAGCTGCTGGCGCACACTGTCCGAGCGCTGATGGAGGCGAACCCGGACCTGGTCCCGGTGGCGCTGGACGAGAAGAACGCCTACGGGACCGCACGGCGCGAGGCCTGCCTGGCCGAACTAGAGGGGGCGGCGCCAGAGCTCCTCCCCTTCGCAGACCTCTTCTCCCGGCGCCGCTCCCGATATGACTTCTGGGGCACGGGCGGGGACTGCCACCGCTTGGGCTCGGCGGACGGCGTCGACCAGGGGGGCCCGCTGGCGCCCCTCCTCTTCGCCTGCGGCCTCCGCTCCCCCTTGCGCGCGCTGGAAGACGCACTGAGGGCTAGGGTGACCGCCTGCGGCCTGCGGGCAGACGACGTCTGGGTGCTGGCGTACCTGGACGACATCGTCGCGCTCGCCCCCCCGCCACTGGCGAGCGAGGTGGAAGCGACTGCGGAGGCCGCGCTTGGGCGCCTAGGGCTCGAGCTGCAACGGCGAAAAACGCAAGCGCGGTCTGCCCGCCCGCCTTGCCCGGCAGGGCTGGAAGAGCGCTGGCGCACCGACGGCGCGACGCATCTGGGCGTCCCGCTGGGGGGGCCGCGGCCGCCGGGCAACCTCGAGAGCGACGGGCGCCGGACTTGGGCAGCGCCGCCTATACGCCGCGGCGCGCTGCCCGGAGACTGCTGACAGAGCGGCTGCGCTGCTGCAGACGCTCGCTTGCTGCCGACGCTGGCCTTGCCGCACCCTCCGGCGACCCGAGTGGCCGGGCTCCTCCTCCGTCACTGCGGCACGGGCAAGCTGACGCTCTGCGCCATCCGGCCAGCGCACTGCCAGGCCGCCGCGGCCGCCTACGACAACGCGCTACTGGAGGTCCACAAGAAGCTACCGCGGCTCGACCCGCTGACGCCTGAGCAACGCGTGCGTTGCCGCATGCCGCTCCGGCTGGGCGGCCGGGGCTTCCGGCGAAGGAGCGCGGCTGCTGGCGGGGCCCCAGCGCTCTGGCGGGCCGCCGCAGCAGGCGGGCGGGCGGGGCCCTACCGGCGCCAAAGGCGAGGAGGAGAGGGGGCCGCAGAGACTGGGCCGCGGCCGCCGCCCGCTGCCGCGCGGGCGCGCCTGGCAGCGGCGAGCGGAGGGCCCGCGCGGACGCTGGCGCGGCAGGGGGCGACGGCGGCCGGCGGCGGCTGGCGGCGGCGGGCCGGCGGCAGCGGCTGGGCTCCAGGAGGCGGCGGAGGAGGCGGGCGCTGGGGAGAGGAGGCCGAGGGCGGCAGCGCGGGGGCCCCGCCGCCCTTCGGCTAGGAGGGGTTCGGGGAAGCACGCCAGAGCGGGCCCCGAGTGAGGGCGGGGCTAGAACGCCCGCGACTCTCGGGGCGGCCGTGGGGGCCCCGCAGCGCAGCCGCGCCAGGAGCGAGACGAGGCGCCGCGGCCGGCGGAGCTCCGCGGCGAGGGGGTGGAGGCGGAGGCGGCGGGCAGCGGCTGGCTGGGGCCCGCCAGGGGCCGGCCGAGGCGCGCGGAGGGCCGCGCGCTGGATGGCGAAGGCGGGGGGCGCCGAGGCGGGGCCGGGCTCGGCCGCCCGCCGGCAAGCGGGGCGGATGGGAGCGGCCGAGGCGGCGGGGGGCGGCAGGCCTGAGGCCTGGGCCAACGGCGGCGGGCGGCGGGCCACGGCAGAGCCCCGCGCGGCGGCCCGGCTAGGCGCGAGCCCGCGCAAGACAAAAAAATGCGACCCTACCTAGGAGTTGGAGCCTCTAGGAAAGCAACATTAGTAAGAGCGGTAAACGCCGTCCTCCTCCTTCTCCTCATCGTCGTAAGTGTACTGTAGCGGTAGTAGTAGTAGTAGTAGTAGTAGTAGTAGTAGTAGTAGTAGTAGTAGTAGTAGTAGTAGTAGTAGTAGTAGTAGTAGTAGTAGTAGTAGTAGTAGTAGTAGTAGTAGTAGTAGTAGTAGTAGTAGTAGTAGTAGTAGTAGTAGTAGTAGTAGTAGTAGTAAGTAGTAGTAGTAGTGTAGCAGTAGTAGTAAGTAGTAAGTCGTAGTCGTAGTCGTAGTCGTAGTCTAGTCGGAGTTAGTACTAGTAATAGTAGTAGTTAGTAGTAGTAGTAGTAGTAGTAGTAGTAGTAGTAGTAGTAGTAGTAGTAGTGTAGTAGTAGTAGTAGTTGTTGTAGTAGTAGTAGTAGTAGTTAGTTAGTTAGTTAGTTAGTTAGTCAGTCAGTCAGCTAGTCAGCTAGTTAGTTAGTTAATTCGTTAGTTAGTTCGTTAGTAGTTAATTTGTTAGTTAGTTAGTTAGTTAGTTAGTTAGTTAGTTAGTTAGTTGGTAGTAGTAGTAGTAGTAGTA